CCCACAGCGCCCACAGCCCTCCCAAAAACAGCCCTCCCACAGCCCTCTCACAGCCCTCCCACAGCCCTCCCACAACCCTCCCACAACCCTCCCACAGCCCTCCCACAGCCCTCCCACAGCCCTCCCACAGCCCTCTCACAACCCTCCCACAACCCTCCCACAGCCCTCCCACAGCCCTCCCACAGCCCTCCCACAGCCCTCCCACAACCCTCCCACAGCCCTCCCACAACCCTCCCACAACCCTCCCACACAGCCCTCCCACAGCCCTCCCACAACCCTCCCACAACCCTCCCACAACCCTCCCACAACCCTCCCACAGCCCTCCCACAGCCCTCCCACAACCCTCCCACAGCCCTCCCACAGCCCTCCCACAGCCCTCCCACAGCCCTCCCACAGCCCTCCCACAACCCTCCCACAACCCTCCCACAACCCTCCCACAACCCTCCCACAGCCCTCCCACAGCCCTCCCACAACCCTCCCACAACCCTCCCACAACCCTCCCACAGCCCTCCCACAGCCCTCCCACAGCCCTCCCACATCCCTCCCACATCCCTCCCACAACCCTCCCTCAACCCTCCCACAACCCTCCCACAACCCTCCCACAGCCCTCCCACAGCCCTCCCACAACCCTCCCACAGCCCTCCCACAACCCTCCCACAGCCCTCCCACAACCCTCCCACAACCCTCCCACAACCCTCCCACAGCCCTTCCACAACCCTCCCACAACCCTCCCACAGCCCTCCCACAGCCCTCCCACAGCCCTCCCACAACCCTCCCACAACCCTCCCACAACCCTCCCACAACCCTCCCACAACCCTCCCACAACCCTCCCACAACCCTCCCACAACCCTCCCACAGCCCTCCCACAGCCCTCCCACAACCCTCCCACACACAGCCCTCCCACAACCCTCCCACAACCCTCCCACAGCCCTCCCACAGCCCTCCCACAGCCCTCCCACAGCCCCCACCCACAGCCCTCCCACAGCCCTCCCACAACCCTCCCACAGCCCTCCCACAACCCTCCCACAGCCCTCCCACAGCCCTCCCACAGCCCTCCCACAACCCTCCCACCCTCCCAGCCCTCCCACAGCCCTCCCACAGCCCTCCCACAGCCCTCCCACACACAGCCCTCCCACAACCCTCCCACAACCCTCCCACAGCCCTCCCACAGCCCTCCCACACCCCTCCCACAACCCTCCCACAGCCCTCCCACAGCCCTCCCACAACCCTCCCACACCCCTCCCACAGCCCTCCCACAACCCTCCCACAACCCTCCCACAGCCCTCCCACAACCCTCTCACAGCCCTCCCACAACCCTCCCACAGCCCTCCCACAACCCTCCCACAACCCTCCCACAGCCCTCCCACAACCCTCCCACAGCCCTCCGGCAACGCTCCCACAGCCCTCCCACAGCCCTCCCACAGCCCTCCCACAACCCTCCCACAGCCCTCCCACAACCCTCCCACAGCCCTCCCACAACCCACCCACAACCCACCCACAACCCACCCACAACCCTCCCACAACCCTCCCACAGCCCTCCCACAACCCTCCCACAGCCCTCCCACAACCCTCCCACAACTCTCCCACAACCCTCCCACAGCCCTCCCACAACCCTCCCACAACCCTCCCACAGCCCTCCCACAGCCCTCCCACATCCCTCCCACAACCCTCCCACAGCCCTTTCACAACCCTCCCACAGCCCTCCCACAACCCTCCCACAGCCCTCCCACAGCCCTCCACAACCCTCCCACAGCCCACCCACAACCCTCCCGCAGCCCTCCCACAACCCTCCCGCAGCCCTCCCACAGCCCTCCCACAGCCCTCCCACAACCCTCCCGCAGCCCTCCCACAGCCCTCCCACACCCCTCCCACAGTCCTGTGTTGCTGCCCTCCCAGCCCTCTGGCACCCTGGCCTGCCCAGTGCCACGAAATAACCAGTGCCAGATTCCGGCGGGGAAGGGTCGGCCTTGTGGCAGGGAAGGGTCAGCCTTGTGGCGGGGAAGGGTCAGCCTTGTGGCGGGGAAGGGTCAGCCTTGTGGTGGGGAAGGGTCGGCCTTGTGGCGGGGAAGGGTCAGCCTTGTGGCGGGGAAGGGTCAGCCTTGTGGCGGGGAAGGGTCAGCCTTGTGGTGGGGAAGGGTCGGGCTTGTGGGGGGGAAGGGTCAGCCTTGTGGCGGGGAAGGGTCAGCCTTGTGGTGGGGAAGGGTCAGCCTTGTGGCGGGGAAGGGTCGGCCTTGTGGCGGGGAAGGGTCGGCCTTGTGGCGGGGAAGGGTCGGCCTTGTGGCGGGGAAGGGTCGGCCTTGCGGTGGGGAAGGGTCAGCCTTGTAGCGGGGAAGGGTCAGCCTTGTGGTGGGGAAGGGTCAGCCTTGTGGTGGGGAAGGGTCAGCCTTGTGGTGGGGAAGGGTCGGCCTTGTGGTGGGGAAGGGTCGGCCTTGTGGCGGGGAAGGGTCAGCCTTGTAGCGGGGAAGGGTCGGCCTTGCGGCGGGGAAGGATCGGCCTTGTGGCGGGGAAAGGTCGGCCTTGTGGCGGGGAAGGTGCGGCCTTGTGGCGGAGAAGGGCCGGCCTTGTGGCGGGGAAGGGTCGGCCTTGCGGCGGGGAAGGGTCGGCCTTGCGGCGGGGAAGGATTGGCCTTGTGGCGGGGAAAGGTCGGCCTTGTGGCGGGGAAGGTGCGGCCTTGTGGCGGAGAAGGGCCGGCCTTGTGGCGGGGAAGGGCCGGCCTTGTGGCGGGGAAGGGCCGGCCTTGTGGCGGGGAAGGGCCGGCCTTGTGGCGGGGAAGGGCCGGCCTTGTGGCGGGGAAGGGCCGGCCTTGTGGCGGGGAAGGGTCGGCCTTGTGGGGGGAAGGGCCGGCCTTGTGGCGGGGAAGGGCCGGCCTTGTGGGGGGAAGGGCCGGCCTTGTGGCGGGGAAGGGCCGGCCTTGTGGCGGGGAAGGGCCGGCCTTGTGGCGGGGAAGGGCCGGCCTTGTGGCGGGGAAGGGTCGGCCTTGTGGCGGGGAAGGGTCGGCCTTGAGGCGGGGAAGGGCCGGCCTTGTGGCGGGGAAGGGCCGGCCTTGTGGCGGGGAAGGGCCGGCCTTGTGGCGGGGAAGGGCCGGCCTTGTGGCGGGGAAGGGCCGGCCTTGTGGCGGGGAAGGTGCGGTGTTATGGTATCGACACCGTCGCTGGAGTGTGAGTGGCGATTTCAGCGCCATCTATGGGTCTACTCTCCAACTCCCCGGTATTATGTGCTACGCAGACAACGCCATCTGGTGGTGGTGGCGTGGTATCGGTGAAAGGTTACAGTTTCCTGCCTCAGTTAGAAGAGGAGGTCGATGACGATGATGACCTCTGGTGGGTGACGTATCGAGATCAACGCCATCTATGTTGTGGCTACGAGTTACAGTTTCAATTCCACGGTAGATGGGTGTTATCCTAGGGTCACCCAGTATACTGTCTGTCTAGCAAGTGACGTTATATGTTCACAGAGGTGACATAATGAGGCGTGTGCCTCGAGGCAGGTAGTTCACCTCGGGCAAATGGGCTTGTGGCGGGGAAGGGTCGGCCTTGAGGCGGGGAAGGGTCGGCCTTGAGGCGAGGAAGGGTCGGCCTTGAGGCGAGGAAGGGGTCGGCCTTGAGGCGAGGAAGGGTCGGCCTTGAGGCGAGGAAGGGGTCGGCCTTGAGGCGAGGAAGGGGTCGGCCTTGAGGCGAGGAAGGGGTCGGCCTTGAGGCGAGGAAGGGGTCGGCCTTGAGGCGAGGAAGGGGTCGGCCTTGAGGCGAGGAAGGGGTCGGCCTTGAGGCGAGGAAGGGGTCGGCCTTGAGGCGGGGAAGGGTCGGCCTTGCGGCGGGGAAGGGTCGGCCCTGTGGCGGGGAAGGGTCGGCCAGGTGAGAGAAGTCCATTCCATCTCGTCAAGACTGTCCACGAAGCTTCAGGCTGGATCACCTTCTCTTACTGGGTATGGCAGTCTGGCTTGCGTGCACACGCACGCGCACACACGCGCGCGCACACACACACACAAGGGGCTGCATGGGACTCCATGGAGTCCATATCTAGTCAAGCATAAGACCAAAATGGAAAGAGTTCAAAGGTTTGTCAACAGACTAGTACCCGGGCAGAGAGGTATGAGCTACGAGGAGAGGCTACAGAAATTAAACCTCACGTCACTAGAAGACAGAAGAGTTAGGGGGGATATGATCACCACATACAAGATTCTCAGAGGAATTGATAGGGTAGATAAAGACGGGCTATTTAACACAAGGGGCACACGCACTAAGGGACACAGGTGGAAACTGAGCGCCCAAATGAGCCAGAGATATTAGAAAGAATTTTTTTAGTGTCAGAGTTGTTGACAAATGGAATGCATTAGGCAGTGATGTGGTTATCTTGAGGTTATCTTGAGATGATTTCGGGGCTTTAGTGTCCCAGCGGCCCGGTCCTCGACCAGGCCTCCACCCCCAGGAAGCAGCCCGTGACAGCTGACTAACTCCCAGGTACCTATTTACTGCTAGGTAACAGGGGCATTCAGGGTGAAAGAAACTTTGCCCATTTGTTTCTGCCTCGTGCGGGAATCGAACCCGCGCCACAGAATTACGAGTCCTGCGCGCTATCCACCAGGCTACGAGGCCCCTAGGCCTACGAGTGGTGGAGGCTGATTCCATACAGTTTCAAGTGTAGATGTGATAGAGCCCAATAGGTTCAGGAACCTGTGCACCAGTTGATTGACAGTTGAGAGGCGGGAC